AAAACATGAAAGAGTAAAGACATGGAAAATTTAATGAGATTGCATTGCATCCAAATTACAAAATGAGAGGGGAAAGATAATATTTGAGGGGTAGTGGCCAGGATTTTTTTCTTGAATTGATGAACATGAAACTTCAAATTCAGGAAACACAATGAGTACCAAGCAGGTTAAATAAAAAGAAGACCTAACATTGCAATCGCAGAACCCTAAAGAGGAAGAGAAACCCTAAGAGGCAGAAACCACAGAAGCCTATGGAATAATCTCCCCAGAGAGTTAAGGGAAAATGTCTTGAGCCTGCATATAGAACTATTAAATATATGCCCAGCCAACCTATTATCCTATATAAAAACAAAACAGAATTTACCAGCAAATGATGCTCATTGAAATAACTGCTGTCTTTTGTATTTCTGGTGCAAAAAAATAACCTGGGAAGGAATGTCTGAAACATGAGAAGAAAGGTGATTAAATAAATTAGTAAACATGGGTAAATAATAATAATAACATTAATAATAATAACAGTGTCTAATATGTGTCCTTAAAAAGCATAGAAAATAGAAATAAAATATTAGGCAATAATGACATGACAGGTGGGACTGTGTCATTAGAATTAAAGTATTCGAATATTCTTGTACACAAGAGTAAAAATAAAATTGAACTCCAAATATTAAGTTAAATAATTAGAGTTAAATATTAAAAAGTTAAGGAGCCATCACTTGGAGAACTGAGGGTGAAGATACAAAGTATGGAAATTTATTTTGATATCCTTGATGGTAAAATACACTAAGCCAACCCACCCCAAGAGAGGTCACTGCCAGCTACAGGTTGGGCAGTCCTGTAATGTTCTTGGTCATGCATTTGCAAAGTTTCCAAAGGGCAGTGGAGATTATTACCAGGCATACAGCATGACTTCTGTGCAGACAGGTGAACTATAAAAAGTCATTACTATTACACTGCACAGCTCCATGAGAGGGGTTAACTAGGACACAGGAGGATCAAATTAAAATCAGGAAAGCATTTTACAAGAGTTCTGACCTAGATGGGTAAACCTAGGGGAACTTCCTTTCTGTTGCTTCATTACTGGATTAAAGAATTGGTCTTGCTTTTCAGGAGATTCATTTCATGTCCTGTTACTCCCATCTTCGTACTCAAAGCACTAAAGATTTCAAGTGTAGTATATTGAGGTAGACTTCAGTTATTTTTACATCATTTCTGTATTCTTTATTCAAAATAATGTTTTAATTTTTAAATAATCCTATTGAGTGTTTTTTAACTAACATGATTGAAATGAATTGGTCAGGTCATATGAAGTCATACACAGGACATTCCAGTCAGTATGACCTTAAATGAATTTTAAAGGAACTTTAAAAGTATGGTCTTACCCAATAGTGAGAATATGTGAAGCAATTTACAACATTGCACTTGTGAGAAAGAAGGAATCCAGGTTCTGAATAATGGTACACTGCCTTCTATCCAGCCTGTTGATGACTGGTTATGTTTTATAAAATGAACTTTCTTGGAGAGACTAGTTGTATTAAATACTGCTGTCATCAATGTTGCCAGTTTGGGGAGAGCTCTAGCGTTCATTGCCCAAGCATTAATTGGAAGTGGAATGAAATATGAAGATGCAGTAAAGTTCATAAGACAAAAGCGAAATGGAAATGTTTTGAAGCAAGCAGTTTTTCTCTTTGGAGCAGTATTGTCCTACAATGCAGCTGCACTTCTAAGACACCAGCAGTCAGAGAAACAACTCTTACAGTAAATAAAACCAGGTTACCTGATGCTATTGCCTTGGAAATGGAACTTAAGACAGGACCCAGGTTATCAAACATATTAGCCAGCATGTAGGCTTCATGAATGAGAAGTCTAATGAAGCTTCCCCAGGAGCACTGATGAGCGCTTTTACCAGGCCTCAAGCTTGACAAACCTCTGTGTTTGGATTATGATCAGCTTGTTTGGACACTCAGCAAAGGATGCTTGTTTGGCAAGCGCAGTGGCTCACGACTGTAATCCCAGCACTTTCAGAGGCTGAGGCAGGCAGATCACTTGAGATCAGGAGTTCAAGACCAGCCTGGCCAACATGGTGAAACCCTGCCTCTACTAAAAATACAAAAATTAGCCAGGCAAAATGGCATATGCCTGTACTCTCAGCTACTCTCAGGCTGAGGGATGAGAATCGCTTGAACCCAGGAGGCAGAGTTTGCAGTGAGCCAAGATCATGCCACTGCCCTCCAGCCTGGGCAACAGAGTGAAACTCTGTCTCAAAAAAAAAAAAAAGAAAGAAGAAAGGAGAAGCTTGTTGTTCAGCACTTAAAGCATGTTTATCATTTGTATGAGTTGACCTTTCCTGAAATCATGCAGTATTGAGTTATGTCTTCTTGAAGTCTATTCATATTCTTGAATCTTATCAATATATAAGAAATACAGAGATATTGGGTGCCAAAATATCCAGCACAATACTTGTATGTTTTTAATGTCATACAGAATTAAAAACCTAAGAACTGTGAACAACTGTCTAAGCCTTCTGTGATTTATTTCTTCAGTCATTTCAAACATTAATAATGGGGCCTATATGGCTGTTTGCCTGCTACTATATGTTTATAAGTGTCACATTTAAAACAGTGTACATCAGATTTGTGTAGCGATTGATTTTGTTGACTTTCATCCAAGTCTAATGATGACTTCTTAATGTCTTTTTATAATTCTCATTTTGTGCTCTTATGAAAACCTCCATTTTGAAAATCATAAACCTCTGGTTGAAAAGTTCACGTAAAGTCCACATTGCACAGAAGCACATATCTTTAATGTCTCCAGAAAGAAAAAGTCTTAAAGTTAATTTAGTGTCTGCATTTGGGGTGCAACTTAAAAGAGAAAATCTGAAAGAAGAATGAGAGAGCTATTAAGTATTTTTAGTAAAATGTGTTTGTCTTGTGCAGGGCATATGTTCTTTAGTAAACATTTTTTAAGGTAGACATACCTTATGATTGTAGATAAAATAATTGTTAGTAATAAAATTTTTTTTAAATCTTATAATTTTTTTCCGTATCTATTGGAAGTTGTTTACCAGCTGTTTTTGTTTGAAATGTGATTTTTGGCCAGGCGCAGTGGCTTAAGCCTGTAATCCCAGCACTTTGGGAGGCTGAAGTGGGTGGTCAAGATATCATGAGGTCAAGATATCGAGACCGTCCTGGTCAACATGGTGAAACGCCATCTCTACTAAAAATACAAAACATTAGCTGGGCATGGTGGCACGTGCCTGTAATCCCAGCTACTCAGGAGGCTAAGGCAGGAGAATTGCCTAAACCCAGGAGGCAGAGGTTGCGGTGAGCCAAGATCGCACCATTGCACTCCAGCCTGGGTAACAAGAGCGAAACTCCGTCTTAAAAAAAAAATACATGAAATGTGATTTTTGTCCATCTCTTCCCATCCCCTCTTGCAAAAAGAGAAGTTAACTTCTGGTTATGAATTGAGCAGACATGGAATTTTTTTATGCCTTTTGAACCGTGTAACAATATTTGCATACTTAATAATCTGTTTTATTATACAATCAATAAAAAAGTGATATACATTGATATCAGTTCAACCATATACTTATACTGTCTGGATTGTGTGTTTCCAGTTTTGTGGGAGAAATAATTTGTCAGTGTTCACCAGCTTTCAACAACTTGTGAAAGCTTAAACACCTAAATTGATAATGAATGCAAAAAGGAAGAAGAAAAATTAAGAGAAATCACTAATTACATGGAAATAGAATGCATAACTTCTAGAAGTTGTACTTCTAAAATAGTTCTATCTAAAATAAACTAATCCAAAAGAAGACAGGGATAGAGAAAAAAGGTAAAGGAAGACAAAATAGGATGCAAAATTAATTTGGTAGCAGTAATTCTAAATATATCAATCAGTAATTCTAAATGTATCAATAATTTACAAAATGTAAATGGACTAAACTTTCTCCTTGAGAGACAGGGATTATTTAATTGAATAAAAATTAAACCCAGCTAAATATTTATGAAAGAGACACCCTGATATTACGTGTGTGAAACATTAAAAATAAGCAGGTAACAAAAGATATGGCAGGCAAATACTAAACAAAAGAAGCTGAGGTTATTATAATGTGTTAATGTGAAAATAAAATGAACTTTAGCCTAGAAAGCTTTATTAAAGAATGTCATGACATGGGATTAAAGACTGAATTTACCAAGAAGAGTTAATAGTGCTAGACTGCTATGCATTTAATTACTCAGCCTAATACTATAAAACAATAATTGATGGAATTACAAGGAAAGATTGAAAGAAATCTACCATCACAATGGGAGACTGAGAAACACCACCATTCTAACAATCTGATAAAGTACACTTATGACTTCAGATAAAACTTTCAATTAAGATATCATACATGATTTCTGAAAGTATCATATCTTAACAACTTAGGTATACCAAAAAAAAAGTGGTTCTAGTAGTGACAAAGACTCTGATGTTGAAAATGCATGTGGAGATTAGAATAAAACTAAAAGTGTATATAACAATTAAATATTTCTATATTAACTAAATGTCACAAATAAAAATTTGATTATTGACAAAGTGTAGTCAATTTAGGGGGGAATGGGATTGTCTTATATTGATGAATTCCTTATATGTGACATATACATTATATTTAAAGTAGTCAACAATTTACTGCAGAAACGATACAACTACAAGTGTTTATAATTCTTCAAGATGGTGAAATCATGCTTCAGATGCGATTCATGGCTTTTTGGAACTGGAGGGACTGTAGATATAATGTGGTTCATTACTATTTTTCAATAGATGGGAAAACCAAGATCAAAAATAGTATGTGTTGCTTTGTATTTCCTGTATTTTGCACTCTTGACTTATGAGTTAAGTACTTGTATACCAAGTATTGCAATCACCTTTCTCTTCTTGTATTTACATGCAGTGTAACCACATACAGTTTGGGTGATTAATAATAATATTCCTTTTTTCTTTTCTTTGTTTTTCTTTAGAAGGAAAGAAAAAGGAGTGAAGGAGAGGAAGAAAGAGGAAGAAAAAGAGGGAGAGAGAAGGGAAATGTTGCTTTATTCTAAAAAAAATGGGTATTAATAATGGCCAATCAATGTTTCATTTAAACCTATGAGTAGGTGTGATGTGGTATTGACAATAATGTATATTTTGTGTATTTAAAGTGGAGAGCTCTATAAATATTCATTAAGTTTACTTATTCCAGATCTGAGTTCAAGTCCTTGATATCCTTATTAATTTTCTGTCTTGTTGAGTCTAAGTCTCTTTATAGGTCTTATGTATCTGGGTGTTAGGATCCTTTTACCACTATATCTTTGTTGCTTTAAGATCTATTTTATCAGATACGAGAATTGCAACTCCTGCTTTTTATTTATTCATTTATTTTTGCTCTCCATTTGGTTGGTAAATCTTTCTCCATCCCTTTGTTTGAGTCTTTGTGTATCCTTGCATGTGAAATGGGTGTGGATGTAACATGGCCATCGGGTTTTGGCTGTATCTTTTGATTGGGGATTTAGTCGATTTAAATTTAGGATTACTGCCATTTGATGTTAACTGGCTGTTTTATCCATTCGTTGATGTAAATTCTTCTTTATGTTGATGCTCTTTACTTTTTGGTGTATTTTTAGAAAGGCTAATACTGGTTGTTTCTTTCTATGTGTAATGCTTCTTTCAGAAGCTCTTGTGAAGCAGGCCTGATGGTAATAAAATCTCTGAGTACTTGCTTGTTCATAAAAGATTTTATTTTTCCTTCAGTTGTGAAGCTTAGTTTGGCTGAATATGAAATTCTGGGCTGAAAGTTCTGTTCTTTAAGGATGTTGAATATTGGCCCCCACTCTCTTCTGGCTTGTAGAGTTTCTGCTGAGAGATCTGCTGTAAGTCTGATAGGCTTCCCTTTGTAATTAACCTGACCTTTCTCTCTGGCTGCCCTTAGTATTTTCTCCTTTGTTTCAACCCTGGTGAATCTAACGATTATGTGCCTTGGGGTTGCTCTTCTTGAGGAATATCTTTGTGGTGTTCTCTGTATTACCTGGGGTTGAATATTGTCCTGCTTTGCTAGTTTAGGAAAATTTTCCTGAATAATATCCTGAAGAATATTTTCCAGCTTGGATTCATTCTCTCCGTTGCATTCAGGTACACCTATCAAACGTAAATTTGGTCTTTTCACATAGTCCCACATTTCTTGGAGACTTTGCTCATTCCTTTTTATCCTTTTTTTTCTAATCTTGTCTTCTCATTTTATTTCATTAAGTTGGACTTCTACGTCTGATATCCTTTCTTCTGCTTCAACAATTCGAGTGTTTAAACCCGTGCATACTTCTCGGAGTTCCTATATTGTATTCTTCAGTTCCATTAATTCACTTATATTCCTCTCTAACTTGTCTATTCTCATTAGGATTTCGTCAAACCTTTTTTCAAAGTTCTTAGTTTCTTTACATTGGGCTACAACATGTTCTTTTAACTCACAGAAGTTTCTTATTATCCATCATCTGAAGCCTGATTCTGTTAATGGGATGCACTCATTCTTGATCAAGTCTTGTTCCCTTGTTGATGAGGAACTGTGATCCTCTTAAGAGGGAGAGGCGTTCTGATTTTGAGTATTCTCAGCCTTTTTATGCTGGTTTCTTCCCATCATTGTAAATTTATCCACCTGTCGTCTTTGTAATTACCAACTTTCAAATTAGGTCTCTGAGTGGACGTCCAAGTTGTTAATTCCCAGAGCCAAAATATGAGCAACCCACTGCGCCAGCCAAAACAGTGGCGTTAAGACTGATGGTGCTTTTCTGCCCTGGAATCTCCAGTATGTCTTCCTTCTTGAGTCCGTAATAGGTGACTCTGCCTTCCCGGAGCTCCAAACCTAGGTCAGAAGGGGAACCAGTCCCGTTTACTCTGCACCAAGAGCTGCCGCGCGGAGGTGCCAGTGAAACCACTAGGCCGGCCACAAGAGTCGCGCTCACGACTCATGTGGCTCCTCCAAACCTCGGTCAGAAGGGGAACCAGTCCCGTTTACTCTGCACCGAGAGGAGCCGGCCGCGGTGCCCACGAAACCGCTGTGCCAGCCACAAGAGTCGCGCTGGCAACCCATGGAGCTCCTCCACTGGGAATCTTCTGCTCCGTGAGTGACCGAAATTTGTCTGAAAGTGTGGCATCCTCTCGTTGTCTGAGCTTTCGCTGGCAGCTGCAATCCTGAGATGTTAGCGATCAGCCATCTTGGATCATTCTCCTTTTTTCTTTTAATAAAAGTTATTTGTTTGAATTCAGGAAAATAGTAACAGTATTAACCCTAAAACTCAGATCTAGTCCTAATCTGGTTGTTCTATTTTATTAAACTATATAAAATTGATAAGGACATACCATTCACTATAATTAACTATAAACTGTACATCAATATAAGTACAACTTTTAACAATGAAGTCTATCTCATACTTGGCATTTGATTTTTTAAAAATATGAATGAAAAGTTGTATGAGTGATAAAGTCTTAAGAAGAGGAAGGAATAATATGGATGGTCCTGGGCCCTCTTAAAGGGGGAAAAAATAACTGTGAAGAATTTTGAGAATGCTCTTCTCTTTGGACAGATTTCTCTCTTCCAATGAGAGACAGTTAAAACCAATCCATTGATCCATTTTTTTGTGAACAGTCATTACAGCAGCCAAACATTGAACCCATTTGTGAATCCTTCATATAAGAAGATTAAAGAGAATCTCTTAGTTTGGATCTTTGTGGTAATATTTTTCTTTGCTTTTCCTTTCATTACCTGAAATTCATTACCTCCTCTTCTCTTCCTCACTCCTGACTACCTCCATCCCTAACAATTTTAAATAAATACTAAAGAACTGCTTGAGGAAGTGAAGGAGAAGATTGTTGGTCATTGAGGAAGTATGTTTTTTGGCTAATTGTGTGTTTAGTAGCTTCAGTGATTTTTAAAGAAATACCTGCTGGAAGGTGCTGCTCTCCCTCACCCACTTCTGGCTGCCTCTGAGAGTCACTGTACATATTGCACCGGGTTGCAGAAACTGGAGAATCCATTGGGAAATGCTTTTAAAATAACCTGTGAGAGAAAGAGAGCATGGCATATGCAAACCACTTTCGAATCAATGAGTTCTGGTTGGATTAGAATCTCCTCTTAACCTGCTACCCAAGTAATCCACTGCCATCTCTGACTCCTGCTTGGCTTCTACCACTACAAAATAGCAACTGTTACCTTCTCAGACTATAATAAATACTAGTGTTAACAGTGCCTACGAAAGTGCCTGACACATGTTCAACTATCCACAAGTGGTAGCCATTATTAGGAATACTTTTATTATCATTATTATATTAATTATGCAGTTTTGATTGCTCTGAGTAGAGAAATAGAGGTTCTATTAAAAGCAAGGCTGGGCTGGACTGAGAAGTGCTGCTGCCCATTTGAAAGCTTATACCACATGAAACACTTTATTGTTGGGCTTTTTTTTTCTGTAATCTTGAGACACATATTTTCTATCTACTATTGTTTTAAAGGTCATCTTGAATCGATTCAGCACCATATTATCTAAGCACATCCCCTTTGCTAACCTGTGTATTAATATTATGATAGTTGGTATTTGACAGGGCACTTTTTCAGTAATGTTATATTCAATGCCAGAAAATGTAAATTCTTAGAGGAAAAGAAACTTTGGTAACTGGAGAGTTTAATAACAGTTTTTATTTTAATTACCCTAGGTATTTGTTATTAATTTTCTATAAATATATCCAGATGTATGTGTAGTACATAGATCCTATGAACAAATTCTAGCAACTTTTTGATAAGTTGTCTTCTGAAATTTTCTACCTCTGGACCTAGTTTTATCTTTTCTGAAAGTATCAATTCTTTGCCTAAGTAGAAATATTTTAAATCAATTGCACTATGGTATCTAGTGTAAAAGTAAGTTTGAAGTAACAAATACTCTAAGAACCAACATGAATTTTGCTTCTGTTTATTTTTAGCAGGTAATTTGTTTTTCTAGCCAGGAATAAATTGAAATCTAGAAAAATTAGGTAAGCTTTAGTGGATTTTCTTGTTTGATCTGACTTCTCCTTTTGCTCATGTTTTTAGGCTCAGCTATGTGAACCATGCAGAGGATCTGGCCTCCAAGCTCCTACAATGTTCCCCAAAGAACAGACTATCGGCACAGGCTGCCTTGAGCCACGAGTACTTTAGTGACCTGCCCCCACGGCTATGGGAACTCACCGATAGTGAGTATGACAAATCTACAACATCCATTCCAAGCAGAGTCATCATTTTATTTTAGCATCTGTATGTAATGTGTATACAGATATTCACATATTTTTGTGTGCACAAGCATAAGATAATGTGTGTTTGTATATTATTACAGGGGCATGTGTGTGTGTGTGTGTGTGTGTAGAAAGAGAGAGAGAACAGAAGAAGGGGGACCATGTGTATATATATTTAGTGGAAAACTGCCATTCATTTGCTAGCTTACCAGGCATAGGAAGAAAATGGATTCCTTTTTTGCTATCTCTGCTCTGCAGTCTGCAGCTGTGCATCTTTGTATTTGATTATGTGTGTGTCCAAAAAAATGATCTGAGCAGTCATAAAGGAAAAGGAAAATATGATTTACATATTTAGTGCTTTATGCATATAGTACTTTTTAACTGGCTGCAGTACACAGAGGAGAAAATGATTCATTTCTGTTTGATTCTCAGAGACCATCTTGGTTGTAACAATAACCTTAAAAAAGGCTGCTATGCAGCGAGCTGAGGAACAGAGTTGGCAATTGGCTAATGCATTGAATTGACATGTACAGACTGAAGACATGTAATTCATTTTAACTGCTAATGCTCTTGGTATTCATACAAACAGCTCTTCTATGAACCTTTTAAAACAAAATACATTCCTGGGTGGGTTTTGTTTTGTTTTGTTTTTATAAAAGTCTTTGTATTTATATAGCCTTTTAAAATTACATTTAAAATTTTGGGGGGAGGATTTATGGCTGGGAGGATCTCAGATTTATTCCAAAGTGTTAAACAGAATTCTTGTGAAATTTCACAAAAACTATTGCTGTCAGAATATTTTTGTTCAATGGTGATATATTTTTTCCAAAGAACAATTGGAGATATTTCTTCTCTACTTTTTTCAGATTGCCTTAAAAATTAACATACTGCATATATGCATTAATATTTATAATGTGTTTATTAATCCTTGGTATACATCACTTATGGTAGACATAATGATTATTTCTTCCTTCTCTTAGATTTTAGACTTTTTTCACCCATTGTAATACTGGATTCTTCTTGATGGCAATAACCCTTTATTTTATAACTAAGTTCTAAGTACAATTCCTCTTGGATATTTCTATCCTAAATCTTTTTTTTTGATATCCCATATTTATTTCTTATCACTTTGTTTAACATTAAAGTAACTATAGATATATTGAAATACTCCCCTTATGCTTAGCAAATCCTCATTAACCCTTCACATATTCCCAGCCCATATTTACTCAATAATCTGCTACACTTCCTTTCTAAAGTCTACTAACTGTTACAACACCTATCCTCAATATTTCAAAAATTAAAAACGAAATCCCTATGGGAAAATAATGAATTGGTGACACATCTTTCTATACTGAAAAAGAAATGACACAAATAGGCCCACTAGTTTATGGCTCATCACACTCAAACATATGGCTTGTTTTTCCATTTAGTGCACCTTGTAACTTGATATCATTTCTCCTTGGTGACATCTCAATCCCATCTGACTTGATGATTGAGTTTAAGCTAGGATTTTGATGGTCTATGAATTCCGAATTCTATAGTAGTGCTTTTCTGTTAATATGGACTTATTACCCACTTGCCACTTAGTTTATCAGTCAGTGGTTAAATCCAGTTTCTATCAGTGAGTAAATGCCTACACATTATCACTCGGCAGCAGACTGCCAAGGGAGACAGCCTCGTCCCCGTCATTAACAAGCACAATGTATGCAGAACACCAGAGGGGAATTAAAACCACAAAAAATACCTCAGGGTGGTATTTTTAATATGAGAATTTAATTTGTAATTTCACAGATTAAGAATTTTGGCTGCATTAATCCCTTTATCAGCTCACAGCAGGCTATTTGCAGAAGCATAACCATAAGGCGATATTCATTGGCAGAAACACGTCTTTGCATAACGTTAAACATCAGGAGCAGTGAAACCTTTTGAAGGGGGGAGAATAAAGATGAAAAATCATTATATTTTTAAAGCAAGATTCTACTAAATGCCTCCAGTAACAATTTTGAGTTACAGAAATGCTATTTCTGTGTCTAGAAGATAATCATTATGAAGCATAAATCCAGTTGCAAGAAAGGACAATCGCAGTATTAAATACTACAGTCATTTCCATTTAGAACAACGTGGCTGTACTTGTAAACATGTTTACAAAACAAAGAATTCCCAGACTTTGGAGACTTTAGGAATTAGTTCCTTTAAGTGAAATGACTGGTTTGGGTGACTTACTGTCTAGGTTAATATTCTGCAGACTATATTTAGAATATTTTTTTAATTTTTAGAATTAAATATCATGTTAGCATAGAGTCCTGTACAGGTTCGCCATCTGGCAAAGGCAGCAGTGGCGGCAGTGACAGCAGCAGCACCTGTAATACCCTTACTTGCTTCTTTTTCAAGGAGATTTGGGAGGAGGTCCACCTGGAAAGAAGTGTTGCAGAACCAATAAATGGATTGTCTTAGCAACCAAGCTGTAGTTTAGGAAACTTGCTGTCTTAGTTTGCTCAGACTGCAGTAACAAAATACCATAGACTGGGTGGCTTAAACAGAAGACATTTATTTATGTTGTGGATGGGAGGTCCAAGATGAAAGTGCTAGCAGATTCGGTTGCTGGTGATGTCTTTCTTCTCAGCTTGTGAATGGACACCTTGCTGTGTCTTCACAGGATGGAGAGAGCAGTCTCTCTTTCTCTTATTACAAAGCCATTAATCTCATCATGAGGGCCCTGCCCTTATGACTTCATCTAACCCTAATACCTCTTAAGGACCCATCTTCAAATACTATCAGGGGTTAGGGCTTCAACATATGAATTTGAGGAGGGACACAATTCAGTCTATAGCACTCTGTTTCTTAAAGATGGCTCACAGCACTTTCTAAAGAATTTCCACAAGAGGAAAACACTTATGCAAGCAGGAAGCAAAGTCAGGTTAAAAGGAGAAAATGGGAACAAAAACAAGTTACAAGTAGATTTGAGCCTTCTTGGCTAGTGTAATGTATCAGACCCTGTGAGAAGGGCATCAAGTGTTGTTGGAGCCTGAGTAACAGGGCCCTGCAGTCATTTCATGGATTAGTTTAAAAATGAAATTATGGGCTTATGTCAGACACTTGCTTTGGAAGAATACATCATAATGTAATATCTTTCTTTATTGTACTATTCCTTAAAACCTCATCAGGTTACATAGTACCAAAATTTAGAGGTAATGTATTAGTGTGCCACTGAAGCAGGAATTACAAAAGTGCAACGCAAGAATAATGGTACAGTTATCTGGGGATCTGGCTGTTAAAGCTGGCTAATTCTGGTGGCACCCTGTCATTCTTCCTCTGTCCCAAAACCCCAACAGCTTTGCCCCACTTCTTCTCAAAGATTTAATTGCAGGGAAGTAAGTGGAGGGCTGATTTAAAAGAAATTCATTACTTTTCCCAAATATACCATAGGGCATTCTCCTGCGTACACTATCAAGTTACATAAATAATTGAAGCTGAACTACCCTTGTCAAAGTAAATGAACAAAATACACTTCATAGCACAGAGTCCTTGATTTTATTACACTCATTTGCTAATTCACAAAACTCAAATTCAGTGAAAGAAGGCCAATAAATCCATACAGTGTGAAGAGCATTGAACTGGGAATCAGACCACCTGGATTGTAGCTTTAGCTCCACTGTTAACTAGCCAGGGAACTTTGGACAAGTGCCTTAGTCTCTCTAGGCTTCCCAATTCTCATTTAAGGAGCAAGTGAGATGATGGACACACTAGTCTCCAGGGACCTTTCTAGAGTTTGTAGGTTTTCCCACATTCCTGTACATGTTCTATTGTCCTAAAATAGTATGATGCTCTTAATGTAGCTCTGTTGCATCTATTTAAAACTAAAACAGGTGCACCCATTTCACATGTATTTGCTGCCTTCAGTTCTTAGGCTTTCATGCTGTTTTGAATCATTTCTGACGAGGCTTTCGTGTTCACAACACCTGGTTTTAAAGTCTCTATCCATTGGTCTTTTCCCAGCCTATCGCAGATTCAACACAATTGACCACCATCTCCTCCTCCTAACACTTCCTTCACTTGGTTTCCAGGACACTGTTCTCTCATTGCTTTCCTGTAGTTTAGAAAACTAAATTCTCCTCTTCATATTCCTTTGCTGATTTCTCCTCATTTGCCAGACCTTTTACATTAGAGTGTCCTGGGACTGAATCCTCAGATCTGTCTATCTACATGGACTCCTTAGAGCCGAGGTGATTTCATCCCATCTCATGATTTAAATATCATCTATACACTGACACTTTTCAAATTTCTGTCTCCAGTCCTGTCTTCCCTGATTCCACTTGCATATCCAACTGACTCTCAACATTTCCAGTTGGCCGTCAAGTAGGCCTCTCACACTTAACCTATCCAAAACTGAACTTGTTCTTTCCCTCACACTTGCTCCTTCTCTAGTCTTACCCTTGTCAATAAATAGCAGCATCATGGCCAGGCGCGGTGACTCACGCCTGTAATCCCAGCACTTTGGGAGACCGAGGTGGGTGGATCCTGAGGTCAAGAGATCGAGAGCATCCTGGTCAACATGGTGAAACCCCGTCTCTACTAAAAATACAAAAAATTAGCTGGGCATGGTGGTGCGTGCCTGTAATGTCAGCTACTCAGGAGGCTGAGGCAGGAGAATTGCCTGAACCCAGAAGGCAGAGGTTGCGGTGAGCCAAGATCGCACCATTACACTCCAGCCTGGGTAACAAGAGCGAAACTCAGTCTCAAAAAAAAAAAGAGCAGCATCATTCTTTCAGTTGATGGAAGTTATCCCTGAGTTATCTTTTTTTTTATTGTACTCCACATTCAGTTCTTCCACAGACCCTGTTATTGCTACCTTCACAGTATATCCAGGATCACACCACTCCTCACTTCACTGCTATCAGTCACTCACCTCCCCCAGTCACTCACCATCTTTCACCCATGTATTTACAGTCACCTCCTAACTGGTTTGCCTCCTTCTCTTCTTGCCTCCTTAAAGTCAGCTCTTGCTGTTTTCCTCTTACGGTTTGTGCTTACTCTCCCTCTAGACATATGCATGGCTTGCCCTGTTACCTCATTTGGGTCTCTCCATCAATGTCCCTTATCAGGAGAGACTTCACTGACCTCCTTCCATCTAAAACTCCCAGTTTCTCTTCCCTACTTTATTTTTCTTCATAACATTTACCACTATTTAATATATTATATTTGTTTGGTTGTTTATTGCATGTCCCCCCAACTGGACTCTATAAGAACAGGGATATCCTTTCATTCTTATTTATTTATTGCAGCATTCTGAAATTTCCAGAATAGTGTGGGGCTCAATAAATATTTGTCCAATGAATGAAAGAAAGGCACAAAGGAATGCAAAAATATTTTGTTTCCCAATCTAATTTCATTGTTCTAGATCAGAGAAATGTGGGAGATAGCCTAAGCTGTGGATTTGAGGGAAAGACAGACTGTCCTATCATGTGTTTGCTTATGTGCATAAATGTGTTTGTTTGACCACCTGGCATTTCCAAATCAAAACCTACCAAGATGTTCAATGTTCTTGGCATCCAAACTTGCATCTCAGTCTCCTGCTTTTTAAAAGATGATTATAAATCATGTCTATAGTATATAAGTGAAAACTTCTTATTCTGTCCACAGTGTCTTCTATTTTTACTGTCCCAAATGTGAGATTGCAACCAGAAGCTGGAGAAAGCATGCGGGCCTTTGGGAAAAACAATAGTTACGGCAAAAGTCTATCAAACAGCAAACACTGACAAGCAGCACATTCTCAAGAGTGCATGGGTAAGATGACTTGCTTTACCTGGAAATTAATATTTAATGGATATTGAACAGATTCTTTAAATGAAATGTTTCAGACTCATTTTTTTCACCAACTATCCTATGAGTCTCTTGTGTGCATTATGGCGTTCATCAGACCTTCTATTGAGATAGAATGCAGTTATTTCCATATTTTCAGGCACTTACTAGATTCTAAATAAAATTATACTTAATCTTACACTTTTATTTATGGCAAACCACTTTAGTTATAAGCAAATCCTTTTAACTTCTCACATTCCTCATGGAGAGTGGAAAAAGGTTCACTTTGGGCAGTATCTAAGCCAGAGACCTACTTTGTTTTGCCCACGCAATTTTTGTAATTAGTTGTTCTCATTTTAAAATGGGAAGATTATACTCCGAAGTCTAGATTTCTGGCTTGCCTTGAAAAATGAGCAACTCTAGCAATATTGCCTTCACATTCCTACCAGAAGTGTTTGTGTGTAACTGCATCATTTCTACCTCCTTTTGAGGGAATGTAGGCTTCCCAGTTTAGTTTAGCTCCCATCTGAGCCAGTTCACCTATGTCTGATTCCTGTCTGGCTCCTGGTACAGACCTTATCATGACAAAGCTTTTCTCTTTTACTATCGATTCTTTGTCCTCTACTATTCTGCAGATAGGAAGCATAATCTAAACGTGGCAACCTCTAGTCATGTCAGCATGGTCCAGTCATCACATCACATGTGCTACATAGTGACCAGCCTGGGATGGCAACTTTTGAAAAGGCCATCTTTCTTGATTGCCAGATGGAAATGCCTAGTATATATTTTGGAAAATTTTTAGCATATATATAATTTATACATATATATATATCACCTTAATGTAACACAATTCTCTGAAGCAAATAGAGAAAAAATGTTACTGTAGGAAAAGCTTTTTATTTGCTGATTTGTATAGAAAAGTGTTTGTTTATTCCTTGCTCCAGCAGATACTCAGTAATTAAGTGTTCAGACCAGGCATGGTGGCATACACCTGTAATCCCAGCCCTTTGGGAGGCTGAGGCAGGCAGATGACTTGAGCTCAGGAGTTTGAGAGCAGCCTTGGGCAACATGGTGAAAGCCTGTCTCTACAAGAAATACAGAAATTAGCTGGGCATGGTGGTGCTATGTGCCTGCAGTCCCAGCTGCTTGGGAGGCTGAGGTGGAGCAATGGCTTCGGCCTGAGAGGCGGAGGTTGCAGTGAGCTGAGATTGCATCACTGCACTCCACCCTGAGTGACAGAGCCAAACACTGTCTCAACAAATAAATAAATAAAATAAGAAATGTTCAAGTAACTCAAAGAATATATGCAGCATTGCAATACCACCTCTTCTTTCCTCCCTCTCTTAGTTTGAAATATGTTAACAGGCTAAATTGATAGCCGGGTAAAGAGAGCAAATTTTAAATTACATACATTGTCTTGTGGGTAACCTGAGAGTATCTTGAGCTACTTCTGTACTTAGCTTTTGAATACCCTCAACATAGGGGTCAATTTTGGCCTATCAGTTCATGGCAGCAATTTATGAATGATTTTGAGATAAAAGGTTTCCAGATGAAATGTGATCTATAAATGACAGTCACATGTTACCATTAAACTTAGGTAAGAGTCTTCATTCTTCATGTTATTTCTCCCTGTTGAATAAAAAGCACAACTCTTGGTTGCATTTGTACTCCCACTCTGAATTTCAATTGGTCAGACAAAGAATAGGGCTGAGTTTTTGACAAGCTACCTCCTGGTATTGAGACTGGTTTTGATTCATGAGGGTTACAGCACGTGCTTTTTAAAAGTATTTAACCTGCATTATCATAATGAGGGTCCTGGCTTTATAAATCCCTTAGCCAATTCAGTGGAACAAAACAAAAAGTGGACTTTATTTGTGTTGCTGCCTCATACACACATGCACACAAGCAAGTCTGAATTTCAGTGTAAGGCTGTGTTCCTTTTTTTGGCTCTTTTGAGATCTGCTGACCTGAGCCCAGCCAGTCAAAGCTGCTAGAATGTGTTTCAGCTCAGATCCTCCTTGTGAAATCAAGCTCACAGAACAGAAGCATTCAAAGATTGTTCAAAGATTGCTAATTAAAAAGGGATTTTTTAAAAGGTGCTCAGAACTGCAATCATCAGTATTTAAAAGCCTTTACAAAAATGTAAAAATGTATTTTCGTCACATATATTTTTTAAACCAGATGTCAGGTTATATCTACACAGTGGAAGCTTTTTCTCTAGAATTATTTGATAGCAATACAAATATTATTTCTACGAGTTTTGCCTTTTTCACATCAACTTGTGAAGCTTTTCTTTTGTTTTTTGTTTGTTTGTTTTTTGAGACAGAGTTTCGTTCTTTTGCCCACCACACTGGAGTAAAGTGGCATAATCTCAGCTCACTACAGCCTCTGCCCCAACTTGGGTTCAAGCAATTGTCCTGTCTCAGCGTCCTGAGTAGCTGAGATTACAGGCGCCCACCACCATGCTTGGCTAATTTTTGTATTTTTAGTACAGACAGGGTTTCATCATGTTGGCCAGGCAGGTCTCAAACTCCTGACTTCAGTTGATCCACCCACTTTGGCTTCCCAAAGTGCTAGGATTACAAGTGTGACCCACCACACCTGGCCAATAAAGCTTTAATATTATTGTTGGTGTAGTTTTCTTCCAAATCCAAATGCCTCAGTTGATTCAACATAATGCTGAGGAAACGACTCAATTTTTTTTTCTCTGACAAAAGCTTCAGGGAAGATGGATTCTAACAGTTTCTGTCAGTCAGCAGAAAAGGAAATTATTTTAATGTCTCACCTTTGTGGGGTTTTTAAATAAATGGGGCCATCTTCGAGATCAAATAATGTATCAGATTTATTGGCCTATTATATCTTGTGGAATGGCCTTACTCTGACCGATACTGAATATCAAATTATAGACATTATAGAGCAAATTGTCTGTGTAGATAAGGTATCCTTAGAGAACAGTCTGTAATTTCTCAGATTTTGATTTTTTTTGCTGTTGCTGTTGAATTCATTGACTGTTCAGAGAAGGCTTTGGCATCTTAAATTTTCTCAAATGTCCCAATTCTTTATAGTATCCAGAGCGATTGAGAAGGAGAGGGAGGCCAAAAGGGTTGGGGGCAAGGAGACTATGACTATCGGCCGGCATTTTAACCACCTGTCTTTGGAGAGTTACAAGGAGGTAAATGTGGAAAGTGCATTGTATTAGTTCTATCTTTGAAATGATAGAGGACTGAGTAGACAAGAATGTTTCAAGTCCTAATTTTTCTTCCAAACCTCAATGCCAAATTATTTCTTTCCTTGCATACTAAGGTCACTGCAATTATTTAGTTAATAATGCTGGATTTGCATAAATTGATCTTAGAGGAAAATCTAATGAGATGCATCTGGCTTTGCAGCAGAAAGCAATTTTGGTTTCAGAGTCTCGTAACCAAATTCAGTAAGAAGAAAACCATGAACACCTAAGTTAAAAAATGGGGTGGATGCCACTGGAGTATCAAAATCCTGTGCTTCTTACATTTTGTTATCCTCTGAAGATATTAGCAGACTAAAGATTGTTCTTGCTCATTTTATCAGCACTGATGGGTAAGACCCTTCAAAAGTCTGAGAGAGCCTTAAATATACATAGAAATTTTCCACAGGGAAAAGACCAGAAGCTGTATTGAATACCACATCCATTAGGATCACTTATACTTGGCATACAGTGAAACCAAACACACCCCTCTGGTGAGCTTAACTTTCCTCTTACTCTAAACTGGCATAGAAAGTGCATGGTCACTCTGTCTACTTCTCCTTTAGCTGAATATAAGGGATAATAAAGGTCTCTATTCTTTTAGATATCTGTTTGTAATTTTTCTGAGTTTGTGCTCATTATGAAATAATTCTTTTCAATGAATCAGTTGCTTTTCAGATCCCATTCCTAATAAATTTACAAAGTTATCTAGTGCATGAAAGAATTTTATTTGGTTCAATTGCAAGAAATTAACTGCATGCATATTTTGGTGACCCTCTCCTTACCTTTGAGCCTATTATATTTGCAAATCAACATTGTAAGGGAATTACATGATAGGGAAAAAAATATATCAGACCCTCTACTTGGTCACTAAGCAGTAATTTCCTATAAGTAGGCTGTTAGGTAAACAGAGTAGAATGCTCAAGGAAATTTAATTAAATGAGATAAAGATTTTTTTAGAAACCAGATTTTAGAACAGTGCACAGGTGCATAAGACTGTGGCAGCTCTGTCTGAATGCTAGTAGAACAGTGGTTCTTACTCTGTAGGCCACCTAGAGCTGCCTGCCATCTCAACCGCCATCTCAACTCTGGAAACTGCTCCTAGAAAACAGCCACCTATTGCTCTCCTCCATGCTGTGACATTATGGCGGCTCACTTTTTCTGTCTCTGCACCAACTAACACAGCTTTCATGTTCCCTTCACTTCAGGGCTTCTGCTGACTTGTTTCTGCTTATTCATGGATCCTGCTTATTATCATTTCTCTTTGTCCGTCTACTTCTGGGGCAGTCTACTGCTGACCTCTTTTTGCCTCAGATTCAAACCCTCCCAGAGAGTGGCTCTGATTGATGTAGCCATCATCATGAAGTTGAGAGCAAAGCTGTTGTGTCAGTCACCTCCATACAGACTACTGGCTGACTGTAGGCTGCATCGAGGTCAGGCTCTGAGCCCTGATCCAGTCAGCTGAGCCCAGAACTGGGTGGCCCACCTGTTTTTAAAGAACCTTTTGGAAGAGGCCGCTGGGTTTAGCCCTTCAGAAGCTTGGAGAAGCTTCTGGGAAGCAAGCAGTATAGCAGGAAAGTGCCTTGCCTGGCCTGTATACTACTGAGTGAAAAATTAGGCAAATACAGACAGAAACTCCAATTCTGATACTATGATATCTTCATTGCATGATATTTTTGGCTATTGACTAAAGGTCCTTTTAAGATGTGTTGCATTTTCTCAACTATAGACACAAAAGAAGATAATATCCACTAGCACTTTT